TAGTAACAAGTGCCTTACTAGTAGTAACAAGAAGCTATTAGAAACAAGTGCATCACTTCATGATTTGGTTCCTCGATTTTTAGGGAAACTGAACTTAGTGTGACAAGCTGTTGCCTTCGCAGGACATCTTCTTGGACCAGTTCGCTTGTGTGCAAATCTTAAAGCACAGTTCTACCAAGGTTGATGCTTTCATGTTCATGGTATGTCAAGACAGTCATTTGAAGAAGAGGACAAGAGGCGGAGCCTCACAGACGCATTGGGACCAAAGTCTGAGTGGCTGCGGCCATGTGAATGCAAGGATTTGCTCGTTGATTTCCATCAGAGTTGACAATGACAGCAGCTTAAATTGTAGATGTTTCCGGTCTTTTTCTTGGCATATCGAGTTGTCGCCGTGTGATGCGTCCGGTCGCCGCCTGTTGCTGTACGTCCAAGTCCATTCGACTGACTTGACTCCTCGTCCCTCCACAGAGTCCATTGGCCGAAACGCTGAACGAGTTCAGGTGCAACCGGTGTCCATGACCGAAAGTTTCTCCATTTCGGAGGGCAAAAGCGTCCTCAAATTGGATCTGGGAGTTGCTGTGGAGGCTTTGAGCAGGCCAGATCCTGAGATTGACTGTTTGACTAGCAGGTACTTATCCTGTACTACAGATGCTAATTACTGCTTTGGACCTGTGCCCAACACACCTGTCTGCTAACAAGAAGGCGTTCTCTACTACCCTTATTTGTGGCTTTGTATCCTCAATCCCGATAAACCCTGTTACAAAACTTGTCCTTTTCCTTCCTTTTTTTTGTTTCTTTAGGCGTTTAGACATCTCTTATTTGTTTCCTTTTGTTGAAGGAAGAATGCTTTTGAAAGGGCCTTGTGCATTCTTTCTTTTGGGACACCATAATGACAGATCAAAGCAACATTTGAGGCCGCAGTATGACGAGCAACAGAAGCTCACACGGCTTCATTGTCGGCTGTTGGAAGATTCCACGAAAGAGGGCTGGGTGACGATGAAAGGGAATCAAGGTGCACTTTTCTACTGTTCAAAGAATTGGTTTTTCTGATTCTAGGAACAAGTGCATCGCTTCTAGTAACAAGTGCCTTACTAGTAGTAACAAGAAGCTACTAGGGGCTCCTGGCCGTACTACTAGTAACAAGAAGCTACTAGGAATCTCTTCTTAGATCATCATTTCCGTCTGCCTCAGGCAAAGTCTTCTTGGATCGGCTCTCACCGCATAGTGCACATCAAAAGTCCTTGGATAGGAGCTGCTGCTTAATTCAAATAAAGGAAGTCACGGATGCTCGTATCCCAAAGTTAAGTTTCTCTAAAAATCTAGGAGCCAAATCATATTAGTGCGAGCGTGAGTTATCTTGCGTCCTAGGTATTAGCGTACTAGTAGCTAGTAGGCACCTGCTTAATTAAGTAGGGAGAGGGGGAGCGGGTTAAAAAAAGAGAAACACATAGAAAAAGACAACGCAAGAAACAAAAAGAAGCTAATCCGCACAGCACCAAGATGCCGTAGGATGATGTCTGCTTCTACAAAGGTCGTCAACAAGGCTTCTTTCTAACACATCGCTTTGGTCGAACGGTTGCACCGGTGGGCATTTCCCAGCTAAAAATGCGCTTTTCGCTTGGAGGCCTCATCCTTTTTGAGCGCGAGAAGAAAAGAATTGAACGACTGCAGCAATGGGCCATTGTTAGAGGCCGCTTCACAGTGTCCAACTGATGGGAATGGACGGACACTGTCTGACCGGACTTTGATTCTCTGAGGCGAAAGTGAAGATGGAAGAATTTAAAGTCAAGGTCCATTGGCTGTCTGCGAAGATAGGAAAAGGAATGAACACTTGTTGAGAGTTACATCGCTCTGACAAGGCTTCGTCACTACAGCGAAAGCTGGACGAGATTAAGAAGAAAGTTGCAGAAGCTGCGAAAGAGTACGAAAAGTTATCCGGCCTTACTTGGTGGTGTATGTCTAGCATCTAGCGGTGATTGAAGGTGAACTTTAGCGGCATGATTGTGACAGTGCAAGTAGAACGACATATTGCCTGCATTGAAATAGGCATTGACTGATCATGGCTTCTTAAATGCATTAGGTCGTGCTTGAAAGAGTGCTATTGCTTACGCAGATTTTGGCCTCACCAATAATACAATATGTAATACATGTTTCCTTGTTGAATCTGCATGACGATGACGATTGAGCTGGCAGCTGCTCCTACTCCTACTCCTACTCCTCCTCCTTCTCCTACTCCTACTACTGCTACTAGTACTAGTACTAGTACTACTGCTGCTGCTGCTGCGACTACTGCTATCATTTACAAATCCTTCGTTGAAAGTCCCTCTCCAGAAGCGATGGCAGGTGTGAAGCACAGCAAAAACGAGCACGCAGCGATGCACGCGACAAGCGGCTTCTGGATGCCATGACCAAGGCCTCCTCGACACAATTCTGCAACACCAAAATACTAATTAATTAGTAACAAGAAGCTACTAGGGACTCCTGGCCATACTACTAGGAACAAGAAGCTACTAGGGGCTCCTGGCATCGCTACTAGGAGCGATCGGACACTACTAGTAACAAGGAGGATGAGTTCGGACAAAAGGACGGTAAGGGTACCGGTAACGGCAGGGCCCTCTTTTGAGTGTCCTTTTTGTTTCTCTGGAGATTCTTTTGGACCAAACGTTTCTTGAGGCGATTGAACAAGAGCTACATACTCTCAAAGCTGAAGAGAAGCGAATTGCCGAGGTGCCGATGCAAACCGTAGCGTCCGATCGCTCCTAGTAGTACGGCCAGGAGCCCCTAGCAGCTTCTTGTTCCTAGTAGCGATGCTAGGAGCCCCGAACGCAATGTTGACACCTAACACCTGACAGGCGCACTTTGAAATTGAATAGACCCTGCAGGTGGTGGCTCCACTGACCAATGGAGCAGACCTGGAGGTTCTGGACGCACCAGTCTCCATCCTGAAGGATGGCAAAGAGATGGCTGAAAAGCTCAAGGAACAATCAGCTGCTGCAAGGCGAGGAACTGGGCTGGCCTAGAGAAGAATAGAACATACAAACTGGAATGATACTAGGGGCTCCTAGCCTTACTACTAGGAGCAAGAAGCTACTAGGAACAAAGGAAGGGTCTAAAGCTGCTGCAAGGCGAGGTACTGAGCTCTGAAGGAAAAAACAGACAAAGAAGGGTCTAAAGGCCTATACAAAAACAGAGCATACAAACAGAAGAAAGGACAGCGAAGGAAACACCTACAAAAAAGACCAGAAAGGCCAGGTTAAGCGCTGTTTTTGTTTTTCCATCCTCAGGCCTCAAAGAAAGCGTTCAAAGACGCCTTAAAGTTGTAAGTCGTAAGTAGTTGTAGGATGTTGTAGGTGGTAGTAAGGAGGGGAGTTCGACAGAGCTTCTTGGAGGAAGTCTATTCAGCAGCATGAAGTCCCTCAAGGCGTGGCTGCAGGCCGGAACCAGACAACCTTGCTTGGGCGGTGTTCTTGTACGAAGCAAGTGCCTGGCAAGACATTCCAGAGGTAAGAAAAAGCTGCCTAAGAAGGCATTCTTGCAAGTAGAGAGCATTATCATTACTGAACATGTCTTTGCAGCGGCAGATGAGGCGTTTCATTTTGTTGAAGTCTGATGGGGTCTAGAATTGCTACGCCAGGAACTGCCACGTCTATGCGCCAAGTCATCAGCACATCCCTTTCAGAGGCCGGCTTGGTTAAGTGTTCCTAAAAATCTAGGAACAAGAAGCTACTAGGGGCTCCTGGCATCGCTACAAGGAGCAAGGACGCTACTAGGGGCTCCTGGCCTTACTACTAGGAACAAGAAGCTATTAGGAACCAAATGATTAGTCCGAGCGCTTCTTTAAGGATGCTCCCCCGCCGCATTGAGGCGGCTTCCTTGAAGAAGCGTGAGGTATCCTGCGTCCAGTAGGTAGTAGCTTAAGTAGCTTAAGTAGGTAGTAGCAGTAGCAGTAGCAGTAGCAGTAGCAGTAGCAGTAGCAGCAGTAGCAGCAGTAGCAGCAGTAGCAGCAGTAGCAGCAG